TATTGTTACTAAGATATATATCTAACCAATTAATAGTTAATTCGTGTGTCAAAGGATCGAACTACGGTAATCATTATCAGTGTAGAACAAGACTAGTTGTATTTCTAGTTGCATGGAATGTGCACAGAAAAAACGCGCGAATAAATTTTCTTCCAATAATTTTTCATCGAAGTAGCGATGAAATGTGAACCGCATCATCGTCCGATCGATCACCTTTGTTTTCTCCCGAGGGAATGAGAGAGAAAGAAAGAAATAGAGACGACGATGTACCGCTTACCCTTCCTCATTTTTATTGTCGTAAATCTGGCAGCGCGAATGCGCTGGTCACGCGCCGTTTCCCAGTGACTTGTTGCCCACGATCCATGTCCCCCAGAATTTCGTTCCCGCGACCCCGCGGGATCCATGAACGAGCGGAACCCGTGCCAGCAAGATCCGGTCGCCCGCTCTTCTTGGCCGGGGTTCCGGTCGCCCCCTTTCTGGATACGTTAGCATTCGCGCTTCAAACTTTTAGGGATTTCTCACGAATTCGAAATCCATTTTTTTTTCGGACGAACTCTCAACGCTGATCTTATCGATCTTATCCAGTCAATTTTATATACGTTGTTAGTCTATTCCCTGCCTCTTTTTAAATCGCACCAACTAAAATTGCAATAGAGGGAAAATATTTAGTTATTCGCTACTACTGCTAATTATACCGAATTAATAATTATCAGAAATAGTGCATTGTGATATAATCAAAGAGTATAATTGAAGAATGAATTTGAAAGTTCATGCATCTTCAGCTTCACCTTTAGGTTCTACAATGGATATTTTAAGATCATACAATAACTTTTATCGTATACACTTCTGTCGAATTATTCGTTTATTGTACCTGACTTTCCAAGAAAGTTTTCACACGTGTCAAAAATCTGATCTAAAGAGCACCTGAAAGGCGTTGAAAAGATTAGATCGACATCTTTTGAACTTTGGATTATTAGGATATCCTAATTGTGCCTTCTAGCGTCAATCACTTCGTACATATTTTAAGGGAAGTAAACTCAGAATTGGATAATGGGGAGAGGGGGACGGCGAGATAGTTACCTATGGTGTCGAGGATAGTCACGCCATACGCGATCGGGCGCGTGAGCGAATTGCCGAGGCACGCGCCGCTCCGGAGTACGTAATTATCATAGGGAGGTTGCCCTCAGACACATACACACGCGCAGGGGGTCGAGGGGTCGGTCGAGTCGGGTCAGGAAGTCACGCGAGGCGCACTGGGGAGCGGAAGGGCAGCACAGCGTCGACGGAGGTAGGAGGAGAAAGAGAGAGTGCTTTTATTGTTCTACGAGTCGTCTTAAAGTCGCTTTTCCTGGCCAGTGGGCAGACCCGCTGAAACCCCCCGGCTGGTGGTGGTCGATAACGCGACGTGATGTTTCTCGACAGACGCGCCAGCGCGCCTCGACAATTCTCGAATCGACCCGCTGAGGTTTATGTTATTTTCGCGGTGTATATAAGCCGTCGCGCGCAATGGGAGGAGCCGCACTCGTTCAGATTAATCCTTATATGCTTGTGCCGGATCAATTCGACCGAAACGGTTTTCCTGCCGTTTATAAAGGAGAATCCGTGAAAGAGAGAGAATTTACAGTCATATAAATTGAACTTTAAGCTCTCGCTTGGTAGAAAGTTATTCAAATACGTTGTAGCTTACATTTCTTCCGGATAGGAACAATTTAATATTATAATTTCTTATAAAACTTAAGATTTAGTTGTGGAAGAGACTGTGCGTGCAGCTAATCTGTTTTAGTTTTCTCTGTGAAAATAAAAGAAAAATTGTTTGAATCAAATTTTTGTGCATCCGATGTGTGCACTTAAGACCGTCCATAACTTGGATAACACAAATCAAATATAATAATATTTGCGACGTTTGCTGTTTTCCCGATAGTAATAAACCCAAATGAGAAACTTGTCCAAGAGCTATAAAATTCTGGGCTAATAACGCTGATGCCGGCGCCACAGATAATTAAGTTTCAGGCAGTTCACGCGAGAAAGCTTTTTTGACCACTTCGACTTTAGATTAGATCGCGTGGAACGGTACAACGCTTCAGTGCGCATTTTGGTACGGAAAGGTTACATGAGCATGACCTGCTTCGAGACATGGAACAACTTTGGGTTACCAAGCACGCGAGCAACATTAATGGGTATACTCGAATTACCGTTTTACAGATATATATATCTCTAATGTGTTAATTCACGGGTGTCAGTTCATCATTGTCTTTGCATGACGTTACGGAACGTCGCAAATAAGTTGGGAAGTAATTTGCATTAAAACGCGTCGCTTAGACAGCAAGTCGCTAAATTTTTTGGCGTACGTGAGAAAAATTTCTTCGGCATTTTAAAATTTACAAACTTAATGTCTTGGTCTTGTTCAAATGAATTAATCAAGTGAATTATTACACAACGTTATAGCAATCTCGTCGAAATATTATTAACACAAAGGTAGATACAATTCAAGAGATACAAGTTATACACGTACACCTTGCATGACATATAGAATTTAAATCGTTTAAATTAATAATTTAGTTATTAATTAAAAAATTATATCAAAATTTAAAGTTATTTTGATTAAAAAATTATATCATTTAAATGTTTACCGTCATTGCAATTATATAAACGACAAGCACCATCGCGTTTCATGTTGGTATCATTGAAATAACGCTTTTTCAAATATATCTTAATGCACTTTATTTATGCTTGTTATTTATGCACCACGGATTGACATTAAAATCTCTCAACTTCGACTTTTTCTCTAGTTTCCTTTACACGATAATTATCTAATGAAACTCGAAAGTGTGAGCGGTAACCTAAGGTCAGGTTGCTATCCGAGGAGACAAGCTTGTAATTTCAATTTCACGCGGCTCGGAAGACCACAAAGTGCCCTCGGGTCAACACGCGTCACGTCACGTAATTTCATGAATCTCGGCGATGACGACGATGTCGCTCCCTTTCGCGTCGCGGCGCAAAGCGTAAACCGAGTCAAAGGCGACCCCGCGCCTGTCAAGATCAGAGGACGGTGCTGGAGCACGCCATTCGAAAATGCCCCCGAGCCCACACCGTGCTAAAACGACTCGTGTGTGCGTCGTCGCGAGAAATACCTGAAAATTAAACGTCCAGGGCACACGGAGCAATGCGAAGAAGGGACCCAAAATCTTCCTTTCAAGAGGCCTATATCCTCCAAAAAGAATCTAATTCACAGAATCCTATTAATTAGCACAATTCGCGGAGTTTCATTATCGATCATTTACATTTTTCAAGCAATTAACTCGGCCTTCAAAAGTGTGTTTCAGAAATAAGGACCAAAGGGACACAATTTCGTTTGGTCTTGCACAGTGTATTTCGTTCTACCCTCCTATATACAGTTATTATAATGGTATTGGTAAAAGATTTACGGTAAATTGAAGCTAATTTAATGCATAATATGAAGAAATAATAAGTGATGCGAATCATCATTTTTCTTCGTGTATATAGAATAACCATCGATTTTACAAGACAATATCAGGACATTATTATTTATGCAGTATTTTTAATTTAAAATTATAGTGCAAAATCGTCCGGTTAGTTTGTACGTGGTCTGCTATATAATTCGCCATATACTACATTGTATGTACGTTGCGTTAAATTACCCTTAAAGGTCCGGCGCTAAGGTGTGACATGACAGACTGCGCGCGAGTCGTGAATGCAATCCTGAATACAAGGGCAAGGTGACACTGATGGCGCCAACGGGTTTCGCGCGCGTTCAAAGGCGAGACTTTTACGTCCACCCGCGCCACGGAGGTGATCTCGAACAGCGTCGGGACTGTTGTAACCTGGTTGGTGGCGGCCAGAAGCCGTTTATAACAAAGATGCCCGCGGGCAGGTCCCTGTGATCTCCGCGAGATGATTGTGCCAGAGTCGGTGTTGGCGTCCACACAGGGTGGGGCCTGCTCTTCGGCGTTACCACCGTGCGGGCAGGCGTCTCTACACAGCCCCCGGGGCTTGCTCTCTGCCACCCTTCCTCACCCTCCCTCGCCACCCTCTCTGTCGCTCGCTCGCTCTCCGTCGACGACAAAGGGGCCGCGGTTCAACGCGCCACAAAGCACCCGGGACGCCACCTACACCCACACCAACACCCACATTCTCGCATCCTCTACGCGTCTGCACGCACAAAGCTTGCTCGAACAAGCCGGAGCGTCGCGACGCGTGAACTTGTACCCAGCGGCGCCGCGACCCACCCTTTAGGTATACGTAGCGTCTAGCGAACCGAGAACGAGAAAAAAGAAAACCTCCTCTCCAGCCAGAGGGGCTTCTGCGAAGAAGAATGGAGGGCACGCATGGCGAAGGGGGTTGTGGAATTTTAGAAAATCACTCCGGGTGTTTGACATTAATACGACGGAAAATTAATCAAAGAGATACGAGAGAATTAGAGACCAGTCGATTGTTAGTGGTGACTAAAACAGGGCTAGAATAGGGCTACAAAATCATTGCGCTAAAGACTGGGACTCTCTGCAACCTAACGTGACGTTGATGTTTTTGCTTTTATTAATACAAGAAATTATGTATATATCTATGTAAACGCGTTAAGATTTATTATATGTGAGGTGCGCTTGCATAATCCGAAAAAATTTATCTTTGCGACTTGTTTAAAAAAGACGTAAATGCATAAAGGCGCAAAAAGTAATCATTGCTTAATATTAATAATATCAAGGTGTTTTCTGCAATTGCAAATAGCAAGAGGTAACATATTATACTCTCAAGGTTTTACAATCGTATTTCTTAGTGAGTATTCTAACTACTATGATGCTATCTGAATTAAACATGCTACATACATTCTTATTATTTTATATTAAAATATGATTTTATATTTATGTCCTCCACGTAGAGTAATACTAAAAATTTCGTGTAATAAGTGAATACAGTCTTGTCTTTATATATCCTCCTCTTGATATTGCTAAACACCTTTATAAACAGACTCAGGTGACACTCACCCTGACCAGGTGCCGGCGACGTGGCGTGGCTCCAGCCTCCCTTGTAAGAGCTGCCAGCATCTAAAAAAAGAAATATTTTTAAATATAAAAAAAAACATTTCTTCTTATTCGCGGTGCAAAGTTCTCGATTTGCCGCGACGCGTGTTGAAAATCTCTACGGCTTATCGATCCGCGCAGATATTTCGTGATCCGGCCGAATTGCGATTACATTTTTTGAGGTCACGTCGGTAGCGCGGGCGAATATATCCGCAATTACCGGTTAATCGGTTCGAGGAATCACGAGAAGCCGTAAAGTATATCTGATTGAAAGTGCTTCGAGCTATCGTGGCGGCTTCGGCAGGGGAGAAATACGAGTACACGATTCTTCTCCTTCGCGAAATCTTTACGACGCTTTAACGGCTCTGATCGTTCCTACATGAGCGCGGCGCAAGACGCACGCGAGAGAGTCCATCATGAATATGCGTTGCGGATGCATATATCGTCTTTGAAATCGATTCTCGATATGTGGATTTGATAACGATAGACGTAGCTGAGCTATTTGCGTCCAAAGTTGCAGACGTTGAAAAGTTTTTGGCTGTTACGTTAAAATTCTAGCTGCTCGAGTCTTTTATTATATACACATGTCAGAAAAAAGCGAGAAGATGTACAAAATATGTCAATCAGGATCAAATTTCTCTTAGATACTTAGAAATTTGATGTTAAAATTAGATAAACTGTTATTTGTTTTTGTGCTTCTTATGCCCATTTCTACCAATGTAGATTAACTTTAATCTTGGTTTAACTTACTTTCTATTTTTTTCTAACTTTTAGAACTAGGAAAAGATGACAGGTAAGTTAAACCAAGATTAAAATTAACCTGCGT